AACATTTTTTTAATCATTATTTACTCAAAATCAATTTCTTATCCCGTAAGGTGATTTTAATAGCTTAGCCCCCATATTGAGATACTTCAAATTTGGATATAATTCCGCTATTAGCTTTAGAACTTTACCTGTACAGTCTGTACTTCCTTCAAAATCTAAATGAATTATATTTGGGAATGTGTATACAATACCTTTGATTTTTTTATTTGAAAGTGAAGGGTAGTGTGTTATTTTAAGATGAGTTAGTTTCGGACTATAAACTGGTTTTCTTCCTCCTTCAGGTACTATTTTTAAAATCTTTTCAATCGAAATTTATCATCTACTTCATTTCCCTTTAGCTTAATACGTCTCCATAGAATAGGAGCATCGCATCTATACCACAATCGGGAAACATATAAAGTGGGATAGAATGACTTATCTACTGCTAAGAAATGTAAAATATGTTCTAGTAATTCCTGTATATTAAAAACATTTGTATGCGACATACATAATATATGCTGTATCTTTAATTGAAAAAATAAATTAGCCATTTTGTCATACAATACGTGGCCTAGCAAATTCTTTCGAGCTGGTAATAGTATACCACTTCAGCCATATTGCACAACGAAGTTCACAGGCAAGAGGTGGTATTTCAACCAGACTTATAATTTGAGAAAGATAAAAAATATCAGATTGTATGAATGCATGGAATAATGGCATCGGATTTTTCACATTGGGCAGGTTAAATATGAATTGCTTAAGCGCTTTCTCTCTCCAATGCCTAATTGCCTCTGTATTCCAATAAGTTTTGATATCACAAAAAAGGTTATTCCAGTCTATATATTTATGCATTAATGGAATATCCTATTGAAATCGTATTTCATATTCTTGGATAAATTCATCATAACCTCTACCTGACATTTTGCTAATAGATCGATTGATTATATTCAAAAAATAAAATTACGCGATCACTGCTCCGGACTGGCTGGCTTAGAAGAACAATCATCTTTTTACGCAAACTCTAGTTCCTGTGCCAATCTATCCAATGTTAATTTAAGACCAATTATATAGGCTTCTTGTCAAAATTCAGGTGCAACCTCTGCTAGAAACACCTTTTTAATATTTTTATTTGCATTTTCTATAATTTCATCTAAACTTTCCATATTGTGCAAATTGCTATTAAATCCCATACTTTGCTATATGAGCCTATATCTTTAATTGAAAAAATAATATTAATGATGAGCACCTGACTCCAGATATTCACATAGCTCAGGATAATCAAACACGCCTACAACTCTATCCTGTCTTCCTTATCTGCAGTCTTGCGCTGATTATTTCTCGATTTTTTAGCCATATTCCTTATGTGAACTATGTTCACCATCGGAAGGGTTTATATAATTCAATTAATCTGATTGGCATCTTTTACAGATAACTGAATATTTATTATATTAGAAAAAAAATCTTATAATTATGTACGTACTGTGATTTGCTTCCTCTGAATTGCATATATGCATCATATCACTAATCTGGATCACCAGCATGAACTAGACTCTGTGATTTCAGTTGCAAAGAAGACAAGTGAGGCATACATTCCCTTTAATATGCCCCAAATTATTATGAATTCGATCTACTGTCCACTGGGATATATCTCCTGGCCGATTCCATTCAAATTTCATTTCAATGAGACATAATGCGCATTTATCTTCTTGAATATATTTTAACATAAGGATATAGTCAACTGTTAGATCAAATTCACGGCCTTTTTCCTTATCCTGGCCCATATATCCGATAAGTTTTTCCTGAATAAATGGTCTCAATTCGTGCTCTAGCCGTCTTTTCTTTTTTGCTTCCTCAATCTCTTGAGCAATTTCAGGAGGTAATGGAGGCACCTCAACCTGAATGAGTTGGCTTAAATATTCCACACAACTAACTGCTAAATATATTAGGTTATCTCAAGCTAGGTTTTCATCAATGACCCAAACACTCTGTGAAGCTTTAAGGGTTATTCCTTGACTAGTGTGAATAGTCATAACATATCCAAGTTCCCAATCTATGACTTTTTTATCCGCCAACATATCTTTTAAGAATTTGTCAGGGAGTGTATTTAAAGGCAAGTGTATTATATCATTTTTCACTAATTCCTTTTTTTCGGATGAGCCAGGGATCGGAACAAGACAATTTTGTTTACGTCCATCTTTTGGCCTATAGATTAATAGGATCGGCACATTGAGATATTTTTTTCGATGAAATTTTAAGCATCTTTGGGAAGTAATTCTTCGGGAAAGTAGATGTGCTGATAAGATACGATCTGATGGCTTCTATTCAGCTTCAAGATATTCCCATTTTTCTGTAACTGGAAGTGCTTCACGGAATAAGTCTGACTGCACTCTGTTATTTTGGCGTCGCATTTTTTTCTTAAGCTCTTGTAATCTAGGGCATTTAGCCCGATAATCAGTCAAGACTTTTTCGTAGTAATCAGCTCGCTCTTTTAACCAGTCATGAAGCATTTCTTCGAAGAATGGTGGAGGCTGGGCATCATCCCTGCAACAAATTACCTGACATTTTTGCTCTAGTAAGTAATCGATAAACTTTTCTAAAATATGCCTAAGAACTATACATACTTCATCCCAAATAACTACTTGAGGAAATTTCTTTTCTCCCATGCGTTCAGGAATCCACTCTCCTATACCGTTCCATCTAAAGAAGCTATGCCAAGTTTAGACTTTTACCTTACAATCATTCTAGAAGTCTTTAGCCAATGCATTCGTATGAGTAAAGACTACTATATTTATATCTTTAAAGATTCGGATTGCGCGTGTTATCTTCTCAGAATCACCGCCTCCATTGAGATATGAAACTCAGGATCTTGTAATAGGATCACGAATTGATGGAGCAATACTTTCAGTAATATTTTTAATCGATTCCCAATGCCTATTTTTTGGCTAGTAAATAACGTTTGGGTCTGGGCCATGAATTTTCTCTCCTTTATCTCGCCATTGGCCAAGCTGTATTTCTCGAATCTTTTCCTCTTTTAGTGGCTCAGACTCTTTGGTAACAACTTTACTAGGTTGGGTATTTTTCCAAGGACCTTGGCGAAAGTACCATTCCCTAAAGCAAACAGCACATACAAATGGCTTATGCTCGTTACATGACAAATAGCTCGTTTTTCTGTTCACATAGTGAACTGTTACTTCTTTGACGAATTTTTTGACTGCTTCTTTTCCATAATAGACTCCCGCTTCACACATTGCACAAGAAGGAATTTTATGTGGACATTGAAACTTACCAGTATCATCCCGAAATCTGTGATTGAGGGAGCGCTTAGCTTGCTTAAAGAAGGCAGATACATTTTCAATCTTATATAAGACCTCTCTTCGTATATATATAGAATCTGTTGCGATTCTTATCACTTCATTAGGACCAAATCTCTGGAGCATTTCTAGCAAGTTTATATGAGCATAAACTAACATTGAGGCTCGCAAATGTGTATATTGAGGCTGATGACCTTTGTAGTATGTGAGTATATGTCCAAGCGGACATTTATCACTACCTGCATATGTTCCCTCTTTAATGCAATCCTGAATCAAGAAATCAAGTTCATCTTCGTCTATTACAACTCGGTGAGTAAGGCATTTTTCTTCAACTTTATTTCCCTGTGTGAACTTTCCTATGATTGCGCAACTTATATCCTGATTTTTAGGTAACCATACCTTCGTTTGCTTGGTAAGAGAAATAATAGCTTCTCCTATAGTTACACTTTCTAGGATACCTACTTCGAGAAGATATCGTAAAAGCACAATAGGTGTTCATTCTTTTGTCTTCCCACATCCTTCTCCACTTCGACAGGCAAAATGTTTTCCATACCAAACAGGAATTGTTGGATGAATATTAGGGACAAATTTGAAAGTTCTTACCTGTGCAAATCTGGTTATATCATCAGGTGGCAATTCTCTGTTCACTGCTACTCAAACAAGATAGTGTGTTGGATGCCCAAACCGCTTAAACCATTGTGAACATTCTCCTTGACCACGCATACTCGCTGGATAGCATTTCTTCATTTCTATACATACAACATCTTCAACTTGATAATTAGGTGCATTCCAGCGTCCTCCATACCCATGTTCAACACAAGACTGCTTTATATTTTTATGTACACTAGCCGGAGTAGGATGCCAATCATTGATCTCGTTGGCAAGTTTGCCTCCGGCATGATTAACACCAAATACATGTTCTGCTAACTCAACTATTTTAAGCGATTCTAGGGACTCCCGCTTTCTTTCTTCATTAATTATTCCTTCTCAAAGTTGCCAGTCTACTGCATCCTCAAATAATTCCTTACATACTTTTATAATATCTGTATGCTTCATCCATGTTCTAAATGTACGACCATCTTCTAGAATAAATTAGGATATTGACTGGATCTCTTCCAATGTTTCTCCTTCTCCAAGTCCAAGCCTAATAAGCTATATTGCTTGTGGACCTTAAAGAGCTTTATTGATAGCCATCCATGCATTATCATTATAATACTCCACCATTCGATCTCTTGGAAAATGATGGTTTCTAGGGAATGTGTGGCCATTGTGGACTACCATCTCTATCTCTTCAAACCTACCTGTTTGATATTTTCCACTATTAAAAATAACTCCATGGGTAATATCATACAATGTGATTGGTCGTTTAAGTATCTTTTCCAATTCTGCTACATCCTCTACTCGAGCACCAGGTTGACGTATTCTTTTTTCCCATATGCCAATTTTTTGCTTACGTGTACTAGTCAGACCATACCCTCTTTTTGCTTTTTCAAAATACTTTATTACTTGTTGGGCCACACAATTAAGTGCGCCATCTTTCATTAGCATTAATCGTTTACTATCTGGCTCTCAAATTTTATATAGTCCATAGACGACTGCATTTTCAGTAAGATCCCCTATATCAGATTCTATTGAAACTTCTCTAACTAAAAACTTCTCATCAATTCCTACCCAAAAGCCTAGCTTTGTTTTCTTAGTAAGAATAATATTGAGACCTCCTGAAACGAATTTCTTACCAGCCCTCTTTGATTCTCGAATAGGCTGGTATTTATCAACGATTTTAAATGCATAGTTATGCCTTCCACCATAAGTAGAATCGTTTCTAACAAATTTTACTCTTATAAGAAACCTATCATCATCTATTACATTTAAAATCTCCTTGGCATGCTCTTTAGTCATCCCAGCTTCATTCATTTCTTTTTTCTCAAAAACAGTTTCTATATACTCTTTCCATTCTGGACTCCCTTTGTCTTCTGCCTTATATTCCTTTATTAATACCTCTATATATTCTGAAATCCTTTTTTCATCACGTATTCTCCTATGTAAATATAGCTCTTTTACTTTCTTTGCAACTTCTTTTTCACTTCTAGCTAATAATAATATATTTGTTAATTCTTTGTCCAGAACTTTTGCAAACTAAGTCGAAAATGTATATTCAGCACCATCTACTTTAAACATGTCTTTTGCTGTTTGAATTCCCTTCTGCCATACTTCCCGATGCCCTTCATTATCTGGAAATAGAACCAGCCAAGGTACTTTTTTATTTAAGTCCTTGGGATCGTCTTCAAACCCATCCTTTTGGTCAATAATCTCAAGAGCTGGTGTCAATTTTTTTCTTTGTTCTTCTTTATAAGCTTTAGTTGCTGGACCTGGTCCAGCTTCAAGTCTTCTACTAGTTGAAAAACTTGGGCTTTCTTTCGCCGTTTATTAGAAGACTTTCTTTCGGCTTGACGCTCCATCAAATCAAACCATTCTGCATCTGTTTTGGGGACCTTTTTATTAATAATGGTTGGGTTATTTTTTATTTCAGGATTCGCAAACCAGTTAGCCAAATCCTCTATAGATAAATGCATTGCTTGACCTTTTTTAGACCTTTCCTTTTCACGAACATGGACTACAGGAGATGGAGGATTAGGTATCAGCGATTGAGGACTGGATATATTAGGGTTAGGTGGCTGAACCAAGTTAGGTATTTGGGTTTGCTTGCACTTAAACTTTCTGTTAAGATGATTTGTTAAATCACGAGTCTTTTTAAAGTCATTCTTTCCACATCGAGGACATTGAAGTACCATTTCGATAGTAAGTGAAATAATTCAATTGTTTGTATTAATAATACGAAAACTTTTGTTCAAAAAATAATTAATTATCCCTCCTTCAATTTATCAATTGGTGGGAGATAGCCTAGTCTGACATTATATCCTGTTAGTTTTTTTTCGAATTTATGAGAAAAAAAGGTTTGTGGCAAGCCGACTAGCTCTGAACCTGGCCTTTGCAGAAAGCATGCTAGTGGATACTATGTGATCCAATATATTAATAGGCTTCGGGATAAAGCTAATGCTGAGTATTTAATTCGGATGAAAATTGATGAATTGCTTCTAGAGCTGTCAGCGAACAAAACTGAAGAAGCAGGAGAGCAGGGTCTACAGCAGATCGAAGTACTATAGGTGACCAGCACTATTGCTTCAATCATGAACGAAGAATCAGAAGATACTGGAGATGAAGCTCCAATTTTTGAGCTCGGTGATGAGGTTATGACCCTTCAATCCAGAATCGTTACTTCTGGTAATATTCTTAAAGCTCTGATTTATGACTCAGATGGTGAGAATATGGGTATTGACCCCTTTGGAAATTAGTAGAGCTAGATTATCTTGGCTGATAAGTTTTTTTTTACATCATGCTATTCTGATTTTTTT